AGTGATTCTGTACACATAGGGATAAATGAATTAATTTTATTAAAATTAAATGTTTTGTAATAATTATCAGGTAATAGAATTGGCTCAGAAAAATCAATAATTGGAGTTCCTTGAGGGGTAAAAGAGACAGTTATTATAATAATTTTTGTTCCATCAAATTGAATTAAATAATCAGGTGGAAATTGTCGTGGAATATCTATTTTTGGAAGTAATCGTTGGCATAATGACGCACTATGAAATCCACTTAATGACGTTGATTCACTTGGTTTAGAAATTGGAAAATATGGATTATGTAATTTATGATGATAATAAATCCATGACACTAATCCATCTGATGATGGAATATATAATCCAGTAAAACATAATAAAGAAAATGGTTCACTTTGAATTGATGATGGGTTATCATACCATAATGTAGTTGATTGTTCATCACAAATAACAAGTAATGTTGGTGATCCTTGTGTCCAATTTCTTCTCCAAGTAGCAAATTTAACTTTACCATTTGTTTTAATATATTGTACTATAACTTTATTTGTTTCACGAATATATTTCCAAACTTTAACAAAATTTTTATCACCCCAAGTAGTAAAATGAATACCATCAATACAAGTAGATAAATGTTTTTGATGAACAATAGGAATAGAAAAAATTTGGTCAGATTCACGTTTTTTAATTTCATAAATCTGAAGATATAAACCTGTTACAATAAAATATTCTTTATTCTCTTCATTTTCAATATTTAAAAAGTTTACTGAATCAACTTGTATATTTTGTCTTGAATATTCTTGATATAATGGGGGTTGAAATAATGTTCTTGTATTTTCTGGATGATAAATAATAACTACTTCTTTAGTTGAAATAATAAGCGTTCCTTTAGGTGAAAAAGAGAATGAAATTGGTGGTGAGTCAAAGACAAGTTCTTGAAACACCCGTAGATTATCAGCATTTACTATTAAAATAGAATTATCATTAATATATCCAATCATATGAAATTGTTTATATTCGCCCCATTTCCATTTAGTAGTGTCATTAATCATTCCTGAATTTATATAAGAAGGATTTACATGTTTTATTTCTTTCATGACCAATTTAATTATTTTAAGTTCATTTTATTCTTCTTTTTTTAATTTTCTTTCACCCATTCTTTTAACAAAAACAATAAATCTCTGAAAACCAATGAAAAATTAATTATTCATATATCAAATGAAACACTTATTATTCTATCGGCTTTAAATGGTGATTTTGGAATACAAGAATCAATTGCCATTTGTTTATCTACAGTATTTGCAATTAAGTTAATTTCATTATGTAAACATTCATCTGGGGGTGAATAAATGATCATTGACCCAAATTTAAATTCCATTTCAAATAATTTGTTTCTATCAGTTGGGTTATTATTGTCAAAGAGAAACATTTTATTTACTCTTTTTGAAGAAATGTCAAATTTATTATATCCAGGAAGTTTTGGTGATTTAATAGAAAACATAAAATCTGATGATCCAATAATTGAACCACTTGGAATAAGTTGGCTGTGATGATACACTCCAAATAAATATTCATCACAACATATAAATATAGCTATTTTTTTTATACGTTTACATCTTTCATAAAAGATTTGTGATGGAAATGAATTTGTTTCTTTAAGTTTGTTCGAATCAAACAATATTTTATATGAACTTTTGCCAGTATAATTTTTAAAAAAAGTGACAGAATTGTGTATATAATTTAATACTTTATCAGTTGTTTCTGATGATGGAATAGATTTATATAATTCATTTTGTAAACTGTGTTCAATTATATCTGATGTTGGTATTTGTATATTTACTGGAGAGTTAGTTAAAAAGTTAGAATAAGAAGGTTGTGAAGGTTGATAAGAGTAAAGAGGTTCAGAATAAAATGAATGATTAGAAAAAAGAAAGTGACTTTCATTTTGAAATGTTTCCTTAAAAGGGGGTAAAGTTAGATTATTTTCTACTTCTTGTTGAACATCAGAAGGTGGATAGAGAAATGGTCCTGAATAAGTATTAGTAGGTAACTCATCTCTTTGTCTATTTATTGTTGAAGGTCCCAACTTAGTAACGGTTGGTATTATTTTGGATGTTTTAATATCATTTTTATGTTTACTTGGAATATTTTCTTTTATTCCAATTGAAAGAGGTTCTTCACTGGGAAGTTTTGTTTTATAAATTTGGTTATTTGTTAATTGTTTAATTTGAGTTGGGTTTGATTTGTCTTGTTGAGTATTAGGTGTTTGTGTTATTGAATGAACAGAATCATTTTGAATTATTATTTCATGTTGTTGTGTTTTAATTTGATGAAATTGGTCTTTTAAACTGATAAGCTCAGATCGTATTTCTTTAATTTCATTATTTGATTGAATGAGTTGAGTTTGCAATGAAGGTTGTTGGTTATATGATATTTCTTGTTGAATCTTTTTATTAATTTCATCTTGAAAACGAACAAATAATTCTTTCAAGAGAGAACATGGTATAATTTCATTTGGGTATAACGAAATTCCAAATAAGTCAATAGGTTCAGTCATACAATTCTTTATTTTGTAGTTTTTCTCTTCTTAAAGAAAATTTTTTATGTATTTCATTGACGAATAACATTTAAAATTGTTAAAATAAAATCAAAAAATTGTGTTTTATTTTACTTTAAAAGAAAGAAACATAAATTGACAACAAATGAATAATATTCAACGATTTTGTATTACTAATTAAGGAATTGTAGAAATAAATCAAGGTATATAAAATGAATAGAGTTTACAATACTTAAACATGAGTAAATAAGAGTAAATGAGTATCAAAAGAAATAAAAATAAACACAAATTGTAAAAATTCATAAATATGATTTTCAAACAAAACCAATAAATATCAAATAACTCTTCATATTTCTAATTACGCAAAGAATGCAAGAGTTGTAATTAAGAAAATAACCATTACTGAAATAGTGTTAGAATATCCAATAGATTCACCTGAAGGTCCTGAATTACAATGGTAATAAACTCCATCATTACAAACGTTACACTTTCCAACTACTTCATGAAGCTCTCTTTCTATGTCATCACATTTGTTACTTTGATAACTGTTAAAATATAAATTTCCATTATCAACTTCATATTTATTATAACTTTCTTCAGTTGCCATACAACCACCTGCAATATATATACCAATCACATTATCCTTTTGTATACAATTATCATCTTCCTCCCCAGTAAATACACCAAATGCAAGATAATTTGGAGTTGGTTTAATTTCAACTATACACTTACTATAATCACTACATAATAAGTCCCATACCTTAGATCCTTTACTTAATATTTCAGAAACACTCTTACCAGAACAAGATGTTGATTTACTGTAGGTTATACCTTTAATTTTATCACCTTCATGTTTAAAGGTTACAGATATCTCTTGATCTACAAAATAGCATTTGTCAAATTCAACTACCTCAAACAGTACAGGCTCTCCATTGAGATCAGACTCTAAATTCATAATAAATGATTCTGATAATGCACAACAAATGAAAAATGCAATGAATAATACTTTCATCTGTTTTTTTTTTGAAGGTTTTTTTCTTTAAATATAAACATTTTCATTTTATCAGTTATTACCCCTTCTTATTTTCACCTTTCTCTAGTTTTATTTTAATAAGAATATTTGATTTTTATTTGAAATAACTTCTTCATTCCATATCAAGAATATTTTTAGAAACTGATTATGGTATGAAATTTAATTTTTGAAAACTTTTTGGTTTCTTACTAAATATTTTTCATTTCGTTAATTTTCATATTCATCATTCTTCCAAGCTTATTTTATAATTTTTTTTAACAAGATATTTCAATAAATTTATGTATTTTTATCTTCTTCTTCATTTTTTATTAACAATATAATAAAACACAAGAAATATAGAACACACACCATTGTCTATGATTCCAATTTCAAATAAATTGGGTTACAATACATTTTTAAATCCTTTTCTTTTCATTTGATGTACTTTAAATTTTTTTATTTTTTTTTGTAATATACAAAAAATGTTTATTATTGTACACAATTTGATTTTATGATTAATAAGAATTGATTATTTCAGTGAATTCAATATGTTCTATTTCTATAATAGAGTTCACTTCTATCATATGAGAATTAGAAAGTTCATCTTCTAATGTGTTGCCAGTGTTGAATATGTAGAATATTAAGTATTTCATGTTTTTAATAATGATTGTTCATAGTATTTTGTTGAAGTTGATTTGTAATTTTAGTGTTTTTAATCTTCTTACTGTTTCTTTATGTATTAATTTATTGATAATATTACAAGTATTATTTCTACATAAATTAATTCTCTACTTTGTATTAACTTCTCTTGTAATTCTTTATATTTATTTATTTTGTAAATATAATTTAATTCATTGTTTCTATTTTGATATATATCAATATCATTAATATATCATTTTTTATCTTTGATATTTTGATAATATATATCTGGTATTCTAATATTAAAAGAATGGTCATTAACCAATAAATCTTTATTGTAATTTATAACAATTTCATCATTATTAATACGTTTATGATGTACATTAAAATCTATTTCATCAAATTCATTAAAATATGTATGTTTATATATTTGATTACACACATAGTCATGTTTTAATATTTGATTCTTCTTTATTACATGATATCATAACAATATATGAATAATAGATGGAATTGTGATAGGACAATGTTTACAATATTTTAAAGCATCACAATTAAGTATTTTAGATTTAATATTTCTTGTCATAGTTACTCCTTCTTGCATCTTTACTACTTGGAGGAAAGCATTTCTTTTTATATTTAATGACATCCATGTAGTTACTGATAATTTCACAATATTAAATATACAATTTACATTTCTTATATATTCACTACATTTCTTTCCATTTAAATATCTTTCATTTAATTTTATTTGTTACAAATTCAAATACATTGTTTACATTATGTTTTCTTTCATTTAATTGTATTATATTCATTCATTTATTGAAATTAATATTCTTACCAAATGCTCTCTTCATTCTTTTATATTCATTTTAGATTATCTTTTATTATTTCTTTTCATTTATTTCTTATTTTTTTCATTAATTTGATAGTGTTTATATCTTCTTTTTGTTTTATTATGATATTTATTTGTATTATGATAATACTGATTGATTCTATTTGAATTAATGATAAAATACTTATGGTGATGAAAATAAAAGAAATGTTGAATAAAATAATTCATACCATTATTAAAGTAATTATTATAGTGATAGTTATTGTGGTAATATTTATTGTGATAATTAATGTATTTCTTTCAATACAAACATACTTATTTTTCACTCATTCTTCTATCATTTATATTTCTTTGATGATATTGATTTTTCATTCGTTTGTTATATTTCCAATTTTTATACCTTTTACAATATTTCATGTAATACATCTTGTTCAAAATAAAATGATAAAAAACATGAAATAGAATTATCAAACAAAAAATAAAGAATAAAACACTATAATAAATCAAATTATGATAAAATAAAATAGTTGAATCAAATTTTTTAATAACTGAAGAGTTAAATAACAAACAAAAGAAAGATAATATTTGAACAATGATAATAAATAATTCAATAATAATAATAATAATTTATTTAAATATAACCTATTCAATTATTGACTATAATATTTTTATATTGTTTATAATTAACTATCGTATTAAATAAATTTGTTCTTGTTTTAATTCCATTTTAATTTGAATATTCTATAATTTAATATCAACTTAATATCATTAATATCAATTTATGTTATACTCATTATTT